CAATTACATTGTGATAATTATTGATTATTGAATTGCATGTTTGTTAAGTTGGGATTCAGGGAATAATAATTGACATTAAAGGATCTAAATGATACATTTTGCTGCAACCTTGTTCATGACGGGGAGCCTCTCTTTATGTATCGGTTCTTTGAGGAATTTAAGTAGAAGTGTTTGTGTAATTCATGATATCACTGAGTTTGTCAAATGTGATGATGGAGGTTTCTGATTGTTTACCACAGTACGTGGGAAGCCTTGACGTGCCCAGGCCCAACAGTCGGATGGAGATTGTGGCGGCCATGAGGAGAATCAGGGTAAGATAAAAACTCACGCACACACACACACACACACATGAAATATTCAACCAGGAAGTCGTGACGCATGTGATCAAAACTACTGATGCGGGAATGGGATGCTGGGATGATTTTTTTGAAACAATAGAGAGAGGTGGATTGTGGGTCTTTCTATATTAAAGAGTACTCTGTCCCTTTATCAATGTGTTTATAAGAGGTGAAGGACCCAGTGTTGTTTTCACTGCCTTTTGATAAAACTCTGTTGACCTGATACTTTATTTGAATTTCTTCACACCACCAGCTTCAGTTTTCTCACTTCACTCTGGTGTCATATCATAGTTAGTCTTGCTTGGGTCCCCCCTCCCCCCCGTAAAGCTGCATCACTGGTATTTCCATGGGGATCGTGTTATAATGTTTCCCTCGCACCGTCCCAGCAGACCAGCGTTTTCCTCCAGAAGCGAGGACACGGAGCCGTATCACACAGCGGGGTTGGTTCTGTAATCTGAAGAGTGACTCACAGGAGTAGCTCGGCTCACACACACGACAAGGCTCTTATCTCCAGCTGAGGAGAGAAATGTGTGATTTTCTTTTTTTCCAGAGCCACTAAAAAGCCATAATGTGCATTTATCCCTCTTAAACATTCATGAGGTCTGAAACGCTACATTAAGACTTTTTTTTGGGGGGGGGGAATCCTGCACTTAGGACTCCTACTCCTGTTTTGGCTTGTGTAGTGTGAAAAGTAGGTGGCTGCTTTGTTGCTTTAACTGTTACACTGTGTGCATTTCAAATCAGAGGAACCGCTAGCTCTTTCAGGCAAACTAAACCCATCCATAGAAGTCTGTAGAGCGAAGCTGGACTGTTTGTGTGTATCCGGGTGAATGGGCCAATAGTGATTCCCAAACTGACAAATCAATAAGGTTGTAAACATGGTTGTCTGCAGGCTGAGGTGGGTCGTAAAAAACAGGAGCAGGTAGAGGCAGGCAAGAAAGATGCTTTTAATTACTACAAGAAGAAACATCCCCTCTGTTTAACAGCAGATACAATCTGTACATAACATACACTGTGCTCATCGGTGCTTCTTTATGTCTGTGTGCGTGCTCACATGTGGACATGTTGTGTTGTTAGGTTTGTGTATCTCCGTGAATAAAATTCCCTGGGGGTCCAAGCTCTGGATGAATAATGAATGAGTGAGTGTATTAACGTCGTAGCTCTCAGCCTATTGTATAGAACATCTTTATTTTTAAAAGACTAATGCTGCTTTATAGAGTCCCCAGTGACATATGTAAGAAAGCATGGATCTATAAAAAAAACAAGCTCTGATTTATTAATTTGTCGTGACTTTCATGTAATCTCTGCTGACAGTGTCTAGAGAGAAGTTCCCTATTTATAGCCCTCGGTTATTACACTGACCGGTGGATGACTCGGGCTTGGTTTTCTTCATCGTGTCGTCTTCGCAGCTGGAGCTTTAAATGAAAGAGTAACTTGCATAGACTGCTTATAAAAGTGGAGGTAGACTGTACATTTGGTAAGTTAAGCCAGAAGTTCGTCTTTGAGAACTTTGAAAAGCATTACATAAATGCAATGTATTATTATTATTATTAAGCCTGTTTTCTCTTAAATGCCCAGCAAAGGGCGACTCCACTGGTTACAAAAACAAGTATCTGAGAAAATGACCCTCACTTGATCAGCAAACAATGTAATACAGAGTGTATGGTCCCACTCACTAGTTACAAGTATTTTTCCATATAGAATGATAAAGTGGATGATAAAGCACGGTATGTGGCAGTGATTGATGGCCAGTACCGTCCAATGGGTGCAGGTGGCAGGCGTTGGTGGGCGTAGGTAGTGCAACAGAAGGCCTCAAAACAGCAGTTAACAAACCAGGGGCTGATGACCTCAGCATGACTTCCTGGTTTAAAGGAACTAACTTCATTCAACCTTTAGGGAAATATGCTTATATGCACTCCTTGGTAAGGGTTTAAGTAGTGGGATACATTGTCGACCTGTCCAGGGTCTACCGTCTCTCGCTCAATGCAAGTTTGGATGGATGGATAGATCGAGGTTAGGTGAGAAGATTGATTATACTCTCAGGTCTGGACGGATGACATGATCTGTGTCTTCATCACCACCATGTGGCTGGCTGAAGTATAGGTCATAGACCCCGCCTCCTCCATGTTAGTTTGTGTCAAAATAGTTTATGTTATTTTAGGTAGTTGTTATCACTCTCGTCTATGTTCAAGTGCAAATTTTAGTTATTTGATGCCATAAAATGGTACAGAACGTCATGATTGACAGCTGTATACAGACTTATGATTGGTTAGGAGTGAACTAGCTACTTTCCTTTCCCCTGATTGCAACCGCAAAAATGTTCAAGACAGGAGTGTTTGTAACCGGATACTTCAGCTTCATTTCTGGGAGGATGGAGTGGGAGTGGGAGTTGGGGGAAGTGGAGATGTTTTGACCATAATTATACAGTCCATGGTGCTACCTAAGTTAGTATTAGTACTGATTTAATTTGTACCAGGCCAAGAAAAGCTGTTATTGTCTTTATGTTGTGTTTCTTCTTTTAAAAGTTACAGGGTTCTGTTTTTCGAGCATAAAGAATTATAAGTGTACTTTGTTTTTGTGCAGCTCCCGGTTTGGTACACGTGGGAAGGTAAAGATAGTATCCTTTGTGTGAACTCCTCTCGCACTGTGCCACACTGTGTAAATGCAAACACATGAACGCTTTAAAGGGCAGACGTGCATGTTTGAGACTGGCTGTCAAGTCAAATGTAATTAGCTTTGGAGACGAACATTGGCCTGGCCCTCCTGACTTTCCCCGTCCTACCAAAGCAAAGGCCTCGTCTTTAAATTAAAAGCGCAGCCCTTTAGCCAAGGGACTGTGCGGAGGAGACTCTGTGGAGTTGAGTGTGATTAAAGAGAGTGATGAAGGCAGTGGTGAGAACGACTGCGGTGGGAGGAAGCCCTTGAATCAGGAGGGGTTGCTCGGTGGCTGGCAGAGCTGCAGTCATTTCATCTCCCTCGACTAATCTCTTTAGTCTCAGTCGATGAGAGAAAACAGGAGCAAACATCGGAGGTAGAACCGGAGGGAGAGCAGGCGACGCGGCCTGATCGTCTCTGACTAAACTGTAAATTTGGGTTTGACAGAGCGGAGGAGCTGTGCTAGTTTAGTCCTCAGCTGTTTTTACACACATTCCCACACACACACACACATTCCCACCACGAGAGAGTGAAAAGACACAAATTTTGTATCCTGTGGATCTTTTCAGAGTCGTTTTTTGTTAAACCTTTTCCCCCCCATTATGGCTGACTGGTCCTACTGTGCTGGTTTATAAGAATTTGTTTCATTCAGTTTGACCAGTGGCATAGAAACCACCCCAGCGGCGTGCAAGTGCATTCAAACGTGTGTTTTTATGTATGAAGGTGAATGTGTGTGTGTCTGAGCTGTAGTGGTCCATAATAACGAGACCCCTTGTATTTTAACAACCTCCTCAACAGGGTTGAATGACAATGTTGTTGTCGGCCACTTCTTACTCCCTCAGAAAGAGACGCGTCTACACGCTGGAGTTTTTTTGGGACACAGAACATTTACAGGACGCCTCTGCCTCTCTACAGAAGAAAACATCTTTCAGGCCATTCTCTCCTCCTCACCTCTCTCTATCTTTCTATCACCCCCTCTCTCTTACTCCCTTATCCTCTAACCCCTCCCTCTCCTTCTCCATCCACCGCTGTTTTCTTTCCATCCCCTCACTCTCCTCCTACCAAAATAGACCATCTCGATTTAGCCCCTCTCTGGCTATCTACTCAGTGCTGACAGGAATAGAGGCTGAGGGCAGGCTACGCATGCTTCCCTTTGAATTTTGATCGGCTCTAATGGGATTTTAAGCCTCCCTCTCATGTCCGTCAGGATGCAGCCTCCTCCTTCAGACCGCCAAGACTCTCCCTGGATATTACATGGCTCCCCTCCCTCTGCCTTTGTCCCTGAGTCTGTCTGGAACATTTCGTGAGATCTCTTGTTTTGCCGTGTGCCTGAGAAGCAAACTTCGTCTTAAACCTTAGAGGAGCGAACCTTGTTTTTAACTGTCATTTCAGTGTGGGTCCACTGAGTCTGTGTCAGTCGTCTGACAGCTCACTTGAACTGTCAAGACTCAGTCAGGAGCAGATGTTTGGCTGCTGAGAGGAAGGTTAGAGGGACGTGGACCCGTCAGAGAGGCCAACAGTCCTTTTCACTTGAGTTTGTGTGTTTTTGAGTCACTGTGCTTCAAATTCTACCCAGACTGTTTACAGAAGAACTTTTTCAAAGGTCAAAAGTCTCACAAAACATGTTTTTGGTCTTTTGAGCAGAGGTCAAGTCTTCCTTTAGGGAATTTCCTAGTTGTCACTCAGGCTCCAAAAATGAACTGACGCTGCACTGGTTAGTGGAGGCAAGCAACCACAGATGGCTGTAACTCTAGAGAAGGTTTTGAGATTCAAGTTACATACTGTAATTGTAAATAAAGTCAGTACATGCTGGCACCAGAATATTGGCATTACCTTGTGAACTGGGCTCGAGGATTCTGTTAACAAAACCCATGAGATGTTTACATACTCGTCATCGAGCATGTTTAAGGCCACACCAGTGTTGGAAATGATTTGGATTCATTATTCACCCTCTTCTCCATGCTCATGTGGCCACCGTTCACTCATTCATACCACACTGTAGCAGTGGTCAACTGATTTGGCAGCAGCCAAAATAAACCACCAGAGAAAATATTTCACTTCCCTCTATTCTTTTCTCTGGTTTTAATTGTCTTTGTTCAGATATTTTGCTCACCCTGGCCCGATATAAAAATGTTTCTTTCACAGAATAAACAATGCAAAAAAGATTTGCATTTATTTTTACAAAAATATGTTTTAAAAATGTTTTGCATTTTTCAAATTCAAGCTCTATAATTTGGTTATATTTGTGTTTTTGTTATTTATAATTATTTGTATTCATAACAACATCTTTGGAATAATTTGCACTTTTATTTTATTCT